TTTCATGGCAACCAAATGCCTCCAACTCGGGCCCAGTGACTGAACTGGTGCTGAATGCCTCAACTCAGGCCCAGTGGCTGAACTGGTCCTTCATTAGACTAGGCAGAGCACTGTGTATGGAGAAGTTCCCAAGCAGCCTGTGAGCACATGCTATAGGCAGTTCCCACAGAGAGCAGGCCTATGCCTCTTCCTCCAAGGTCTGGTAGTAGAACAAAGGTGCACAATTTTGGAACTCCCTGCCCACTGCCATTCTGTGGAGATATACACTAGTGGGACAGACATACAGAACAGAGGGAGAGTTGAGAGCTGAACTTAGGTGGTAAGGGACCACACATGGACAAAACTGGTAGAAGTGTACTATGGGGGTCCAAGGAGTGGTGATTTGGGGGAGCACCCACCCCTCCCCACAGAAAAACTGTACTGCTGGATGAGGGTGGAAAGATCCCAGCCCAAGGCCTTACCATTCAGCATTTATGCTCCTTCCTCATGAGCAACCCTCTGGTTTGGAGAGCTCATTCTGATGCTCATCCCAGCAGCTCCCCCTACTGGCCAGAAAGCATTTTCTGAGCCTCACCAAGGTTTGCAGAGCCTTTCAAGCTCCTGCCACTTAGCCACAAACCCCTTTGCTCCTCCCTCCACCACGGTCTCACCTAAAGCTTGAGGCACTCAAGCACCCCAACTGGGGGACCAGAATATGTCACAGGAACAAAAGAATATCTCAGCAACTGGCTCTTTCATACAAACATCAACAGGGATAGTAGTCAAAGATAAGAAAGAAATTAAGAGGAAAGAACAAGCTCAACAAAAATGTAAAATTATGTAAAGAGGCTGAAACATAATAAACATGAGCTTCCCTATGGGTGAAGAAACACAAAAGAGTTGGAAAACCTATCTGAGGGAATAATTACAGAAAACCTCCCAGGACTTTCCAGAAATTTAGATATCCAGTTAAAAGAAGCTCAAGAACACCTGGGAAATTCATCACACAGAGCAATCACCATGATACATGGTCATTGGAAGCACAATGCAAGCCACAAGAAGAAAAACACATCAGGTAATTTACAAAGGAAACCCCATCAGGCTAACTGCAGACTTCTCAACTGAGTCCTTATAAGCAAGAGGAGATGGGGCCCCATACTCAGTCTTCTTAAAAAAAATAATGGCCAGTCTAGAAATTGATGTCCTGCAAAACTAAGTCTCTTAAATAAGGGAAAAATAAAGACTTTTTCAGACAAGCACACACTGAGAGAATTTGTCAAGACCAGACCAGCCCTACAGGAATTTACTCAGATCTGCATTATACATCATCAACACAATGCACACACACACACACACACACACACACACCCCAGTATAAAATCACTCAAAAGCTAAAGCTTGCCACCCATACATGATAGCCCAAGAAATAAAACAAATCAATAAGGTTCTATCCAGCAGGATGACTATAATTGCTTCCCACTTATAAATTATTTCAATAAATGTGAACAACTTGAATTCCCCATTCAAGAGACATGGGCTAGCTGAATGAATTTTAAAAATACAAGATAAGTACCTACAGTCTCCAGGAAACATACCTAAATCACCAGGACTCATTTAGATTTAAAGTGAAGGGACGGAAAAAAATATTCCATGCAAAAGAAAATCAGAAGAAAACAGGGACACCCATTTGTATATCAAATAACATAGACGTCAAATCAACAGCAGTAAAGAAAGACACAGATTGTGATTATATAATGATATATATAAAGGGAGCAATTCAACAAGAAAACATAACAATCCTAAATATTTTTGCACCTAACACAGGTATGCCCAGATTCTTAAAGCAAATGCTACTAGATTTAAACAAAGTAATAAAAAACAGCACAGTATTAGTGGGGGAATGGCCCTTGGCCTCAGTCCCCTGCTGCTCAATATGACTAAGGTGGGGGATGGGTGTTGGAATGTTTGCTTGCATAGATAGATAACTGTTTGGGGGACATTTGAGTGAAGAAAGGATATCAGCAAAGTTAAAAGGGGATTAAAAATTTGCCCTTGAACCAAGACAATCTAGCCTGAAGGCTGTAGGCAACTTTGTATGTTACCTACTTTGTTCTGCCCTTGAGAATTGTTCTGATTGTGTGTGAAAACCCCACACTGTACCCCAGAAGTGCATTAATGTACATAGTTACCATTCAATAAAAAAAAAAAAGAAAGAAAGGAAAAAAAGAGAGAATTGCTCTATGATTTAGTGCCTCCACTCTGATGACCTTTTTCTTAATCAAAAGACCACCTGGGGTGGCACCTCTGGCTCAGTGGGTAGGGCACAGGCCCCATACACCAAGAGGTGGCAGATTCGAACCTGGCTGGCCAAACTACAATTAAATAGCCAAGCTATTGTGGCAGGCACCTGTAGTCCCAGCTACTCGGGAGGCTGAAGCAAGAGAATCACCTAAACCCAGGAATTGAAGGTTGCTGTGAGCTGTGATACCAGAGCACTCTACCAAGGGCAATAGAGTGGAGACTCTGTCTCTAAAAAAACAGAAGACCACCCTGCATGATTGAGTCAAGAGACTATTAACTCATTATTTTCTGTAAACATATACCCACCCTAAAATCTTAATAAAATCTCTTCAGAATCCAGTTCAGAGTGGCACCTATCTGCCTCCCTACAGGCAACAGGTGTCCATCTCTCCCTGGTCCTAACAGATTTTCTCAAAAAACTCTGCCTGTGAATTTCTCACGCCATTTCTCCCCTCTTCTCTGGACCCCAGGCAGTCAGGAAAGTCCCCTCTTAGAAAGTTCTTAGTCCACTGTGTTGCGGCTCACTCCCATGCCCAACAATAAAATGTTCAACATCACTAATCATCAGAAAACACAAATCAAAACCATATTGAGATATCACTTTTAACCCAGTGAAAATGGCTTTTATCAATAAGTCCCAAAATAACAGATGCTGGCATGTATTCATAGAGAAAGGAATGCTTATACATCATTGGTGGGACTGCAGACTAATACAACCTCTATGGAAAATAGTATAGAAATTCTTCAAAGAGCTAAAAGAAGACCTACCATTTGATCTAGGAATCCACTATTGCATATTTACCCAAAGGGGGAAGAAATATTTTATCAAAAATACACTTGCATGCAAATGTTTATTAGTACATTTCATAACCCCAAAGATGTGGTGTCAACCCAAGAGTCCATCATTTCATGAATGGACTGATAAAGTGTGGTGCATTTATACCATGGAGTACTAGTCGGCTATAAAAAAAGAATTCATTTTATAACAATCTGGATAGACTTGGAAACTATTCTCCTTACTGAAGTATTACACAATTGAAAAATCAATCACCACCTATACTCACTATGAAATTGGAACAGACCAAACACCACTCATGTGTACACATGAAAGTAAAAGTCAACAGAAATCAAGCAAGTAGGAGTGGGGAGGAGAGAAGGGATGATGTCATACCAAAGGGGTACAATGTGCATTATCTGGGTGATGGGCACACTTACTACTTTGTCTCAAGCGGTACAAAGCAATTCATGTACCAGAATATTTGTAGCCCAGTATTATTTTGAAATTTAAAAAAAGAAAAAATAATAAATGGTACCTGAAATGCCTGCTCCTCTACAATGCCTCCCTCTACATTAGAGGACTAAGTCCCTCCTTCTCAGTCCCAAAGCACTAATTTATCCCTATAATAGTGTCCCTCCCAGACAGTCTGATATACAGACTTGGTTATATGTGTGCTTTTCCTCATAAACTATGTGAGTTTCATTTTGTGAATAATTGCAGCTAAGATTTATTAAGGATTTTTCTGCCTACCAAGTTCCATGGTAATAGCTTTACATGGCTCATTTCATTTATTCACCAAATAGTCCTTTAAACTAGTACTATTGTTCATCCTCATCTTACAGATAACAAAGCCAAGGCAAAAAATAATTAAAAGTCCAAGTTCACACAGCTAGTAGGAAATGGGGGTCTTCCTGATCCCAAAGGCTGTGCCATGACCACTGCCCCATATTGCCTCGTGGCATGGGTAGAAGTCATCCCTTGCCTCCTCAAGTCCTTCTTTCAGAAAAGCTCCTTCTTTTCTGCTCCCAAAGCACTAACGTCTCCCTGTGATAGGGTACTTCCCAGCTAGGCTGATATGCAGACTTGGTTGCCTGTGTGTATTTTCCCCATAGACTATGAACTTCATTTTATGAATAATAATTGTAGCTATTATTTATTGAGGATTGTCCTACCTGCTGATTTCCATGATAAGTGTTTTTCATGGGGCATTTCATTTATTCACCAAACAGTCCTTTAAACAGGCACTATTCTGCATCTTCATTTTACACATAATAAAGACAAGGCAAAGAACAAGTAAGTCCAAGTTCACACAGCTAGTGAGAAATGGGGTCTGCCTGATCCCAAAGGCTATGCCATGACACTGTCCCATACTGCCTCTTGGCATGGGTAGAAGTCATCTCTTACTCCTGCCACCACACTGGACCCAGCATAGAGCCTGGCGCAGGGAGGTACTCATCAGCACTGAGTGGAGCTGCATGGAGCAGAAATGCCAGGGATGGTGACACCTTTGCTGTGCCTGGTTGGGCATCTGATGCTCTGCTGTGAAGAGGAGAGTGCCAGACTAGGCACATTCCTCCAGCCCCTGGCTCTCTCTGTCCTACCTCATGTGTTCTGCTTCCTCAGTCCTGCTCCTTCCTAACTACAGCCTGGGGATTCAAAGTTGGAGCTTACCTCAGACAAAGAGAAAGCAGAACTCTGAATGATCTATGTGGGATTGAGAGAGGAGAAACATGGAGCTTGTCAGGGGAGGGTGATTAAAATCCATGTGTAGGGAAATTTTTAACCTAATAAAAACAAAATGTTATCTAAAAATAATCCATCACAGTCAAGGTTTTGACTGGAAGTTCAGTGCCCTTTTCTGTCTGACTTGACTTAGTCTAAGAAACAATCTAATGGGTGTGGTTTGGAGACACATCCATGTGGAATTGGGTATTACTCAAGCAAAACAAATATCTGTACAACATATAAATGCACTCCAGCAGGGAAAAAGTCCACAAGAACTCATCAGTCTCCCAGTCTGCAGAGAAGACAGAAACGACATGAGCACTGCAGGAAAAGTAAGCAAAAGACAGGACTGTTAAAAATGTATTCTTGTTAATATAATAAATAAGGGAATATAGTATGTGATGACTAATTTAAAATTTATATCTAACTTAAAATGATACACTGAATACAGTATGAAATCTATGCTATGCTACAGTTTATAATGTCTACTGAACTTCACTGGAAATAAGCTATTCTTAAATAACTTTAACAAGAATGTATAGAATCTGTATCTCTTCTAGTCTTTATTTACTACATTAAACAAATGTGCAGTAAAGTGATAGTTTCTTCCATGTTAATCATAACAAATTTGTAATACTAAAGTCAGAAAAGTCAACAATCGGGAAGGTATCTTTATTCAGAGAAACGTAAATTGTAAAAAACGTTATCTTTGTATTAAGAACCCATAATTTAAATGTGTTATTCTTTGTAATCATGTTCTTTTTATGAACCCCAGAAAGTTAATTCTGACAAAATTTTTGAGAATTTGAGCCAAAAGACTGAAATATCCTTTTCACCTTACTATAAAGTCTCTTACAAAAGGCATATAGCATTAGAATATCAAGATCAAGCAAGATAACATCAACATGCAAATTCTGATTAAAAGGCATCTGTTAGGGCACAATTAAGGTGATGGTGCCTATAGCACAGTTTCTGCTCCATATAAAAGTCAGTAGCATTATACAGAAAAGTAACATGAATGCAACTTGAATTATTTATTAGCACTATGAACACAGAGGCTAAGTCTTCCATGAATTTATGGTATTTGTTCAATGTGTTGACAGGTGCAGAGAAACACATATGGTCATTCAATATAATCAAGTCCTGTAATTACAAAAGGCTGTGGCAACTTTGTTAGAGCTCTGTTCACTGTACATGTTTTACAACAATGAAGACAGGTTTTATGGCTCATACCCAACCACTGAAAATATGTGTTCAACTTTTATTTTTAGCAACATCTATGGATAAGCCATGCTAAAAATTCAAACACACAGTTCTTCAATTTTAAACTATATATGTGTGAGCATATATACACATACATATACACACACCACTAGCTCTAACCTCTGTAATTTGGGGCCCAAACCTAATCTGGAAGGAGCCTCTGCACACAAATTAGAAAACAAAACAGGCTTCCAAAGCTAAGTTTCAAATGAGTGATGCAAGTAAGTGGCACACAGAAGTGGTAGGAAGAGAAATCAGAGGAGAAAAGGGGAAAGGCAAACAGAGAAGGGGAAGTCATTCTGGGGCAGAGGGCAAGTAAGTATGTAACTGGTATTATAAAGACAGATCCTTTCGTCCTAAGCAGAAAATTGAGCAAGGAAGTACAACAGAAACTCTGTAAGTTGACCACACAAGGGACTGGAACAAACTGGTCAACATATGGAGGTGGACAGCATAAGGAACTAGGCCTGCTGTACCGATTGATACATAATGGGTGTACATGTTCAGTCTGTAAAAATTAGGTCAACTTAAAGAGGTGGTCAATGTAGGGAAGTGGCCAACTATGGAGGTTCTACTAGAATAGATGTTAGGTAAACAGACACTGGCTCTGTCAGCAAAATAATGGCGACTTTACCCAACAGTTGTGGGAAAGCAACAAATTTTAAGACAGTGTTTGGAAGCAGTGGGAAAAATTAACTTTGGGAAAAAAACAACAGAAGGATAGCCTAAAAGAAAATATTCTCTTTTATCTCAGTGTCTTATTAGAGTTAATTCTGTTTCTGTTTATTCCTACTACTGCTTTATACTTTTTTTTAAACCACATCTATTCATTTCTATGGAACATGTTAGGTACCACACATGGCCCTGGATGTTCCATGTACAAAGGGAAAAGACACAGTCCCTGACTTCAAGAGAGGGGGAAAACTGGTATTGTCATTTTGTTTGGTTTTCCAGGTAATAAAATGCAAAGCGGCTGTGCTGTGGGAGGCAAACAAACCCTTTTCCATCGAGGAGGTGGAGGTCGCACCACCTAAGGCCTATGAAGTTCGTGTTAAGGTGAAACATTTTTTCCACTTCCCTTTAATTTTAGACTGAAAATAAATTCAGAAAATGTTAAAAATAGAAAATAGCAAAAATAAATGAAGAGGTACTTTTTATACGATAATCCAGACAATAGAATTACAATGGTTGTGGAGATTGAAGCATAAACTGTTAACTATTTAAAGAGTGACCAAAGAACATATACAGCATAATTCAGTAATAAAAAAACAATTTGTTTCTGTATATTAAAAAAGTACAAAAGGATAGGCATGTAGATCAAGATTTCAAAATCAATTAACATTAGGTACTTTCCTAGTGTTAATCTACAATTTCTACTTCTATTAAAAATGCATTCTGAATCTATGTAAGACAAATATTTCAGGCTCAATTATGTCACAGATTATTCTAAATTGTTTAATTCAGGAAAGGAAGATAAAGAAGGGTTTTAGACCAGATAGACTTCCTTTGGTATAAATTGCATCTTTTGTATTTGGGAAGAGTAGGGCTTATTAGCAAAATCCTTAAAAACACAATTTCATAAAACTGGGTATGTTAAATGCATCTGAGGGTCATAATCTTTCCTGAATGTGATCCCCTTCTCTTTACTCTGTAGATGGTGGCCGTAGGAATCTGTCGCACGGATGACCATGTGGTTAGTGGCACCATTGTGGTCCCTTTTCCTGTGATTGCAGGCCACGAATCAGCTGGCATCGTGGAGAGCATTGGAGAAGGGGTGACCACAGTCAAACCAGGTACAGAATTCATGCTCAAGGGAGGTGCCTTGGTTCACGACCCTATGATCATCCAGTCTGGATGAGGAAACTGAGGCAACAAGAGATGAAAAATCTTGCTCAAGGTCACAGACCAGCTGGGCCTTGAAAGTTTCCTCTCCCTGCCTCCCCACCTGGCTCAGGCACAGATGTATTCAGGCACTCAGACGTTCTCCCCTTCAGCAATTATTTCTTGAGGATCTGCAAGATGCCACACACCAGGTGAGAGCCTATGGATATGTGAGCTCACAGGAGACGCAGCGCCTGCCAGTGTGGAGTTCCTCACCTGGTCACTCCAGTTTGGTGTTGCTGGGCACTGCCTTCTGCCAGGGCCAAAACAGAACTAGCAAGGGACAAGAGAAGTGCATGCAAACTGTTCTGTGCTGAGTTACAACGTGGAGGCTGTGTGGCTATGGCTGAATCAATATGATCTTTTCTTAGGTAGAACATGGACCCGTTCAGCAATTTCATCTTCCAATATAGCCTCACTTCTAGAGCATGGAATGAGTGAAACCAACTAAAGGAAAGGGAAAAAATGGAACACAGCAGAAGGCATCTGGCCATAAATAATGTCTGCTGTGTTACCGTTAGCGGTGCAGGCTTAAAGGGGACTGGTTACCAATTGCAATTTATTTTTATCTTTGATATTTATTCTACCCTAATTTCATTGTGTAAAATGAAATTTTATAATAGTATATGTTATTAGAATTCTAATGTAAATATTTTTAGAGGTAAAACTTAACTAAATAGAAAATTTTCATACCATCATTCCTACATAAAGTTTATCCATAAGCATAATGGGCCAGCCATTTTTCTTGGTCTTGTGGGATAGGTAGAATAGATGATTATAAATAAAAATGATGTCCAATTCTAAAACTTTATTTTAACCAGTAAATTCAAATATCTGCCTTACCAAATTTACTTCAGTGTGAACAGAAAATATTTGTTTTAAGTTTTTGGAGCAGAAAATATTAAAACAAATGGTCTAGTTTGAGCTTCTGCTCTTACTTCTTCCTGTAGGTAGAAACAACTTAGTAATAAAATGACACCCTTTCTCTTCGCCCCTTCTTCTTTCACCACAGAAGGGAAAAAAGAAATGGAAAATTAATAAATTATAAACAGAGAACAATTGCAAGTCAGTTCTTACTCAGAAAGAAAGTTCCTAACTCGCTGTTGAGGGTTGGGGTTTTCAGTAGAATTTCTTACGTTCTTCTTTGGCCTATTTTGGTTAGTTTTCCTCAAAAAATAACTAATATATTGTTTAAAAGCATTCACATCATAATAAAGAAAGGCATAGTCATTTTGAAAAGCCAAGAATTGGCTATCCAAGTTCTTACTTTCATTGTAACTCAAATTATAGCAAAATTCCAGATCTCCCAAATTTTGTGGCACTATGGAGGACATTTTCAACTGAAAATTTTTATTGATACTTACAGTGAGAATATTTAGGATTTAATTAGTTATGGATTAAATGAGATGAGGTGTGTGAAACCCTTTACAGAAATCAGAACACTCAATAAAAGTTAACTAGTAATACAAGGAAATAATTTTTAAATTCCATGCTGTTTTTCACATGTACATTTCCTCTTCAGGGTTCTTCTGGCACGTGTAAACCAATGACAAGATTGGCCAGCAGTGTCAAATGACACAGATGTGATCGGACTCTATTTTCTTAGAGACTTTTCAAAGACACACACCTCTAATACATATACACAAAATTGAGTCTTGCTTTATAAGTTTCCGGAAATGTAAGATGAAATTGTTTTATCCCCCCAGGTGATAAAGTCATCCCACTCTTTACTCCTCAGTGTGGAAAATGCAGAGTTTGTAAACACCCGGAAGGCAACTTCTGCTTGAAAAACGAGTAGGTTTCTCATACTCTTTGCTCAGACCTTGAGTTTACACCTTAGTTATGCTGCTGTCTCATGCCTGGTGTGTCTGTTGCACTGACCAGTCTAGCTAAGCCTCGGGGGACCTTGCAGGATGGCACCACCAGGTTCATGTGCAGGGGGAAGCCCGTCCACCACTTCCTCGGCATCAGCACCTTCTCCCAGTACACTGTGGTGGATGAGATGTCTGTGGCCAAAATTGATGCAGCTTCACCCCTGGAGAAAGTTTGCCTCATTGGTTGTGGATTTACAACCGGTTATGGGTCTGCAGTCAAAATTGCCAAGGTAGGAATGGCGACAGGTGATAGGACCAGTTACCCTCAGGTTGTCAGGAACCACAAAGGAAGCCATTTTTCAAGAGAATTGGAGATTATTTGTCATAGATGTGAGGTATTGATTATGAGCAGAAAAACAGTCCCAGAAGGAAGTGACAACATGTCTTAGAAAATTCAGCTCTTTATCACAGAGAAAAAGTTATTCATACTTGGTTAAGAAAAACTAAGATTTCACATTCTTCCAGGTGTTTTCCTTTTGTGATTATTAAATTTCAGGGCTGAGAACTCCTGTAGTCCTTTATTCCACAATTAGAGATCACTAGACATACATTAGGCATGGAGGTTCTACAGGGTTCTGAGGCAGCAGAGATAAATGAAATGAAGTTTCCCTTTGAAGAACGTCTAGTTAACGGATCCACCACTCCCACTATTAGAATCTATGATAGATTTCAAAGCATTACCTGATACAGCTGTAATCCAAGTCACTCGCTCTCTGGATTCTTCAGAAGAAACTAATAAAGCTTCAGTTGCACACTTAATCCACTCTTCATGGAAATTCACTGCTGCAACTCCTCCCCCTCCACGAACACACACTCACACACTCCTTAGATGTGGTCAGCTTCAAGGAGAAGTTCTTTAAAGTCTCCTCTTCCCAACAGGCTGAAAATCTAGGAGTACCCTTCATTTTATGAAACTGAGTCCAGAGACACAAAGCTTATTGCTGCTTATTGCGAGAGCAGATGCCAGAATATTCACCTCCAATCTCCTGCTTAATCTTAAATCACACTACATAATCATTAGCACTTTTAAATCTCATCACAACCCTTAGTTTTTTTCTAAAAAAAGGAGAAAGTGGTATTGAAACACACAGCACAGAGAAACATTTGGTGAATAAATAGGGGAACAGACACCCTGGAGGGAATGTAACACTGAGATTACTGGGGACAGAAAGAGCATTTTACCCACACAGGAGACTGACTATAGAAGAGTAGGCTTATTAAGTAGCTGCTAGCCAATTTAAACAATTTTGAGCACATCTTTCCCAAATTTCTGTGACTTTAGGACTTAGTCTCTTGAGTAATTACCTCATCTGTTTTGACAGGTGGTCTCAGTGAGCCTACCCATAAAGCAGAAGCTGAGAGTATTCAGTAATAGATTTTATTCATTATTAAAATATAGACAGTTTTTTATTGCATTATCATGTATTTGCTAACGCAGGGATATACTAGTCTTGACTAGTGAAGGTTAATGAACTAAGGATTCAATCACTGAGGGTTGAATTAGGTAATTTTTGAGTCCCCTTAAGAAGCTTTTCCCACTTATTTCATTTTCTACAAATTGTGTGAAGCTGGCGATCAATGGATTCCAGCCATGGGATTCTGTTCAAGATTACAGTCACTGACATTTAAAACTCAAAGATCATTCAGTCCTGGGTTCCCAGCCTGGGCTTCCCATTGGAGTCACCCAGGGACCGGGACAGAGATGCTGATTTAATTGGCAAGAGTTGTGGCCTCGGCAGTGAGAAATGATTTTAATGCTCCCCAAATGACTCTAATATGCAGCAAAGTTTGAGAACCCCTAAGTAGTTCAACCCCCTCCATTTAAACATGAGATAACTAAGAGCAAAAGAGCTCTTGACGGCAGATTAACATGTGAGTCTGAGTAGCTCTTGATAACAGACAAGGCATGGCACTTAATAAAGCTGAGGCATGTTCTAACAATTGTTACTTAATCTATTTTTGCCTTTTCTGAAAATCCAGGTCACCCGGGGCTCCACCTGTGCTGTGTTTGGCCTGGGAGGAGTTGGCCTGTCTGTTATCATAGGCTGTAAAGCAGCTGGAGCATCCAGGATCATTGCCGTGGACGTCAATAAAGATAAATTTGCAAAGGCCAAGGAGGTGGGTGCCACTGAATGCATCAACCCACGAGACTACAAGAAGCCCATCCAGGAGGTGATAGCGGAAATGACTGACGGAGGAGTGGATTTTTCGTTTGAGGTCGTTGGTCGGCTTGACACCACGGTATGTATAGCTTGTGACTTGAGATTTCTGTGTCTGCAATCTGGAGTATGGTTTTAGGCATCAGCACATAAATATTGTGTACAAAGAATGTTTTTAAAATAATGAATGGCAATATTCCATCTCCTATTTGTTACTTACCTCTTTTAAATTATTACTGAGAAATATTTCATTCCATCAGCTAAGCAAGCCTGTCTCAAGTAGTATTTCCTCTTTGAAAAGAAAAAGGGTTTGTTTTTTAATTCAACCATTACAGATTTACTTTATCAATTTTAGAAAAAATTCAAACTCAAGTAAATATAACAAATACACATTTTGTTCTCAAATTGATAAGTTTTATCCCCACCCCTACCCCGTTACATTCTTAACAGAAATAGTTCAACAATTGGTTGGATGGTTTAGTGTATTCCAATTTGTTTTACATGCAATACTTTGGCCAAAAGGAATTTGCAATTTTACATCAAGTATTATTTTATTAACCAAAAATATGCCCCCAAGAAAAGTGACTGCTTAAAGGCATCACTGTATTTTACCACAGAGAAACTCAGCACCAGTCACATAGCTAGTACCCAATATGTGCTGGGCTGAATATCTTAAGTCAACAGATTTTACCATCCCCCCAATTTAAGAGATACATATCTCAATGCATTGTGTATGGATTGCATGATATAATGCATGTAAGATACTGAGCACAGTGGTACCTGTCATGGGGTAAGCTCTTCAGCGGGCATTACTCAAATGAATACTCTCCCCAATCTTGCAGCGCTTACATCGTTTTTGAAATACGCATCTCATTACTTTCAAATAATTACAAATATCACCAAATGAATGGGAAACATGCTCCAGCTATATTTTCCCCACACTGAGTTCCTAGAATCCTACTGAAAAAGTATGCAGAGACCAACAAATCCCCATGTTCAGGTTCTCCAGTAAGTCCAGGCAGTGTGGTAAAGGGGAGAGCACCCTAAAGTAAAGCCCTTTGTAACCTTGACCTGGGACAATATGCTATTCACACATAAAGTTTCAAGAGGATCCAACTTTTTTCAAGGTTGTAGTTTTTCTCTTTATGCTCTTTTTAATTTTTTCCCTCCCCTTTCTCTTGTGGACCTGGATTGTTACCTTGTTGGAGATACCAGTGCCTGATAGTCACATGTACTGAGGATTAGCTGGTCTTCCAAATGTTATAATCCAAAATCAAAGGACTAACCATGTTATGCCTTGGGGAATCTTAAACATTTTCTTACTACAGAACATGTTCAAAAGCTGACTAGAGGGGGAAAACTTTCTGGACTGTCTTTTGAGGTTCCACAATAATAGATATAATTTAAAGTCAAACCAACATACATTTGAGGGAAGTAAAAACAATGTTTAAAACATATCCATTTTAGAAATAGATACTAGAATAGGAATTCATCTAAAAGGGAAACCGGCAAGTGAATAAAACACAAATTTTGATGATGTACTAATTATATCACCATTAAACCATATTATTCGAAGTACTGGGTTCAAATCATCTACTTAATACATCAAGGTAAAATGAATTAATCAACTCATAGATCGCCTGAGAACCATGTGATAATGAAACAGTACCCTCAGTGGAGAAGCCAAAATTTACATGTATTTGTAATGATGTTCTTGATAAGGAAGCATTAAGTATGATACGTTCTTTCAGATAATATTTTCTAGGTGTTTCCTAATCCACTCTTCTAGGCACAAAGGGGAATGAGGAAGTAAAGGACATCATCTCTTCCCTGAACCCTTTCACAATCCAGCTAAATCAATACGACATGACCCTGTGCATTAGCAGCAGACACTGGAAGTCTACTTTCAAGGTGCTAAGTATTTGTTTTATTCCAGATGTCTGCCCTGTTATGTTGTCATGAGGCGTGTGGCACATGTGTCAGTGTCGGGATACCTCCTGATTCTCAAAACCTCTCCATGAACCCAATACTGCTATTGACGGGACGCACCTGGAAAGGAGGGGTTTATGGTGGTATGTAGTAACGCATGGGGGTCAAATCCTCATCAACATCAGTTTGTCTCCCCTTTTACAAGTGACAAGGCCAGTTTTGAAAAACAACAAGGTCAAAAATTAATCAAAACTCCTGTTGTATCTGTGGGCTCCAAATCGACTATGTGGAACTAAGGAAGACAGAAGGTCCCAAGGCAGACATTTCTGGTATCCCCATAAACAAATAGGACCTCTCATTGTACAAGTAACCACATAAGGCACCAAAATTTCCAATATGATGTAGGAAGTCTGTAGAACATATGAATCTATAATTCATGTCTCCACTCATTGTCCAAATTTAGATATTGCTAAATTTGCTCCTTGAGCTGGAGCATAATCACCTGCACTATAATTTCTCTCTGAGACAGCTAATAACTAAGTGCCCTTGTTTACTTGGGAATTTTTTTTTTTAAGTTAAAGCACTACCGAACGATATCAAACACTATATTACAGTGTGAGGAATGCAGCACCTTGATAAGCTTTCATTTCAATTTTATTTGGAAAGCCTTCTCTCTAATTTTTCTATTTAGCCCCTGGCTGAATCTAACAATGTTGTCTTCTTTTCAGGATATAAGAGTAAAGAGTCTATCCCAAAACTCGTGGTTGAATATATGTCTAAGAAGTTTTCATTCGATACATTAATAACCAATGTTCTACCTTTTGAAAAAATAAATGAAGGATTTGACCTGCTTCGCTCTGGAAAGAGGTAGATTTTAAGTTGTTTTGTTCTGTTTATGATAAGGGCTTGGCTGGCCAAGAATGAAAAAGGTGAAGGAAGAAAAAAAATTAGAATGCCCTGATTTTCTTTTATCAATTCATTCTTCATATGTAGAGCACCTGAGATCATATTGTAGGAGGCTAACAAAAGTTGTTTTGCATTTCCTATTCTGTTGAAGCCAAATTATGTTGGTTTCCTATTCAGTTGGAGCCAAATCTGAATGATGAGAGCCACTCAGCCTACTTGACAAGAGAACACTCATCTTTGTCACAACAAGAATTAGGTCACATAATCACAAATGATAACAGGGAACAGAAGCCTCTGCCTGGACACCTAAGTAAGGCTGACATTTAGTGGCTGTGAATTTAAATTATATCCAGGACATCTCGCCAACACTTTCATCATGGGAGAAGGTAGAACCACACTGAATTTTTTTTCTATTCAGATGTTATTTGTTTTACTTTTCTTGTTTTTGCAGCTTACAAAGAATTTTTATTTTGCAAATAAAAGTTTCCATAAAGGGGAAGGATACAAAATGCTATTTTAAATTTGTCTGACTTTTTCCTAAAGATTTGAAAAATAGCCAATTCTATTTCCTACTTCTAACATTTAGCACGACCACTGAGTTAGAGGAATTTTGTCACCTGCATTTATACAAAGCACAACTTGTAATAGGCAGTTATATCCAGCCCCTGCCTTATCCCTCCATAGTCCATGCTTTTTCTGCTTCCCTACACTTTCTCTCATGAGATTTTCAACCTAACGATATTTCCCTGGCACTCCTATAAAATACTAGACTAGATACTTCATCAAATATTCTTGAGTAAGGAAAACAAGCATCTCCAGAGCACCAGCTGTTCTACTGATTTTCTTACTTGTATTATGTGATTCCCAAACCGTGTTGATGTGCCAGTTCCAACTTTACCGTCTGAGAGAGGAGAAAACAGACATGGAGAGCACAGGTCCAGGCCAAAACCATGCAGAGAGTAGGCAGGGGAACTCTGACAGGGGAACCATGTCAGAGATCTGATTGTCAGCAAACCAGTTCATTTTCTATGAAACCATATTAACACTTGAGAGTACACTATGGTTTAGTATGTACATACATATATAGGCAATGCAATAGTCATCAAATGGTAATTGTCATCATCATCATCAGTTTGGAAAGATGATGGCAAGTATAGAGATGACTCCACCAAAAGCAGTGTTGAACAACAAAAGAATTCACTAAGGGCACCTATATTCACATTATGAGAGTATCATACAATTTAATATAAAATTTTAATATAACGAATCCACCAATAAGCAAAGATAAAAAATTATAATGCTTAATACTGGTAAGGGTAAGGTCACATGGGTACCTACATACACTGCTTGTAGGAATATTAACTGTTACATCTTTTCAGGAAAGCAATTTGGTAATGTGTATCAGAAACCTTGAAAAATCTTAGATTCTTTTCCCAGCAATTTCATTTCTAGAAAACTATTCTACAGGAATAATCAAATATTCAAACATACATATGTATTTAAGAATACTTTCCTGTTATCTATAATATAAAAATTTATAAGCATCCTGGAAGTCCACCATTAAGGGAATTATTAAGTAAAACCCAATTATGTATTAGAAATTAATGACACCTTTAGAAAGAAATGATTTCATTACATTGGGAGATTTGCGTGATGTAATCTAAGGTTCATAAAATGGAGAATACAAATTGAGTATGCAATATGATCCCAAATTTTCAACAAGACCAGTAAAACATGTATATATGTCTAGAAAAAAGTTGATTAAAATTCAAGAATTTTATGGTTATTTTTAAGTTGTGGGATTCTAGATTTTTACTTTTTTCTGTATAATCTCCTGTATTTTCTAAATTATCTACATAGATGGTATTATATTTGTATAGACACATATATGTAAAACATTTTTAAAATCACAAAGATGATCTTTTTCTAGCTTTTATCCATCAGAGTATGGTTTTTAGAAAGGGTATAATATGCATGCCAAGTGTAAATATTATATTTCTAATCTTACAAGAATGAAATCTCTTAGAATATGAATTAGCTTTATTATCTACTTTTAAGAATTCTTAAACATCTCTGTATCAAAGCTCTATTAAATTTTTAATATAGTCTTCACTTTATTCAATTATATGTTCCTTCAGGCTAGTGACTTGTGATTCATACAATTTTACATTCATGCAATTTTGAATCCCAACGTGACATATTAGATGTATGACCCGGAGCAAATTACATATCTCTCTAAGTCTCAGTATTATCTCTAAAACAAAACAAAACATGAAAGACCACCTCATAATAGTGTTGTTTAGGTTGAGATTTAAATGAGATAATGCATAAAAAATGTCTACAAAGCATCTGACAAATTGGAAGAACTTAGTACACTGTATTACCCACTATTGTTTTACATTCCTTCATTTCCCAGGAACAAGGGCACTCAGAAGTGATTTTTTTGAGGATGCTAATGTAGAATCGAAGTCTAACTGGCAGTCATATTGAGGATGTTATAAACAACCTAAGATTGGAAAAAACACAAGAGACAAAACAAAAAAGATAAACCGTCTTTTTATTTGATTTGACCCGAATGCATAGGGATGGGAATGGAGTGGCTGGGAACACAGATAGATTTTCACATGAGACACCTTAGGTGCTCCTGGACTTTCCCCCATAAGAGTATGAACGGTCTCAGTATTCTCACAATGTCTTTTCTTTCCCATTGCAGCATCCGTACCGTCCTGACCTTTTAAGACCATGCATATGCCTTCCCTGACAGCAGCCTTCAGCATCCTCCATCCCACACCCTCTACAGCACAGACTGGGCAATGTCATTGATTCTGTTCTGCAGAGATGTTATCAGTCAATTACACCTGAATGCTTTCCACAAGGAACAGAAATTGATATGAGATTAATTTTCAAGCAAATGCTTAAAATCCAAGTGAGATCTAGATAAGATGCTGAATATCACCTGGGGAATTGAGACCAGTAAACTTTCCTTCTTATTCATTCTATTTTATGTCACCTTTCCCTTTAAGGAAATAAACTTCGCATGCCTTCTTGCACGTCTGTGTATGTTTTTAACCCACAGCCATTAATATTCAGCGCAGGGGACTCTTCACTTGCCCTGAACACATACATCAGGCTATAGGGCTTAAAGTCTTCTGTCTCTATTTATATTTCCACTATATGAATTTTCCATTTTTCAAAATTCCAGGGCAAAAACTATAGCATGTTGAACAATAGATTCATATTTAAAAGTAGAGAAGATGCGGACCTTCTAAATCCAGGGAATGTCTTAGTAACTCAAAGAAAATGTCACACATTTTCATACAGTTAAAAGAAGTGTCCCTATTCTTTTTATGCTATTTATTTACAGAGACTATATAATTGGTCATTTAAATAAACCAAGTTTTACAGTTCTTGTGATAAATGTGAGGTACTAGTTGTAAAAATTGAACTATTGAACCATGTTCAAAAAATCTATAATTTTTACCTGGAAGTGCTTCATTGTCTAAATAGTGTTAGTTAATGATTACAACTGACTGCAAATGAGGCATACAGTAATTAATAATCATATAGTGGCTTAAAGTGTGGTGATGGTTTGGCAGCAGCGATGAGCATAGCATATAAAATGGGTAACCGACAAATGGTACAAACACGTAAGGCCATTTATTTTCTAAATAGGTATATACACATATACAGATGTACAATTTTGCTAAAATTAATTTCAATCTAGAACTTTTCTATTAACTACCATGTCTTAAATATAATCTCTGAGTCTAGAATTATATTAATATTTTGAATATGTAAAGGCCTATGGTACCCAGTTGTTAATGCTTTCTCCTGCTCATAGAACTACATTTGAGCTTTATTTTTAATGTGTAATGAAAAGTTTATTCCTAGCTAAAGGAATTACAGATATCTGCAAAAGTGCTACTTGTTGCTGTGTTTACAATCTGTTTCGTATTATGGAAAGGACTGTAGACTTAGAGTGAAATAATCTATCTTTTACTATGTGACTCCCAGTAAGTTATTCAACCTCTCTAAGCTTGCTCATCCTTAGTTTTGAAAAAATTAAGCTACTCACCCATTTGTTTATCAAGATTGAACAGATGATATTAGTTAAAAACCTGTGCCAACTATAAACTGCCACATAAATGTAAGGAACATTTATTTGCTTTGCCAAAGATGCTGAAGGTGACACACAGCACCAAAGCAGCTTTCATAATGTCCCTGACATAATATTGTGACACACTACCTGTTGTAACGTGAGCTGTGATTTTTATATTGGTGCTGTCAATATGAGACCCAGACAAAAAGAAGTGGTTCTAATGTCCACTTCTATGTGAAGTAATAAAATCCTGCAAGTGGTACAGAGCCCTGGATCCAGCTCCCACCCTCCCAAGTCAGAGGAGAAGGTACAGAGAGGGGGTTAGGTGGGCACTGTCAGTGTTCTCTCAGAGTGGGTAGGTGTGGGTGGGGGAGCCTTCTGCACCCATCACTGGTTCTTAGTTACATTGACTTTGATAGGGAAAGAGGCAGTTTGAAATCTAAACAGCAAACTGGAACCACAGAGTGGCTGGGATCCCAGTGGGCCAATAATAGTGTACATGTTCAGGGTAGACTCCAGTAACTTTTAACTCTAGAATCAAGAACTTCTATGTTGACTAGTCTCCTCCCCAACCCCAACAAAATGTACATAGCTTGCACTCACTTTTCACCAATAGCAAAACGCTTAGTCAAAGTAAGGGAAATCTTCCAGGTTTAAAGTTTAATAATGTCATGTTGATGGTTCAATTAACCCTGATACACTGACTTAGCACCTCCAGAATTAGAATATAACAAAAAGAAGTAATGAAGATGAACTTTCGCCCTTTGCTATGGGCAAATCACACAAGCTACTCTAGGATTAGAAAGAAAGTGATATTGATGGAATTATCAGAGAGGTACTCAGAAGTTGAAGTAGAGGGAACAAAGATAACTAGAGAGAGAGGGAAAATGATCTGCTTTTGATGCCCAGTGTGCATTGGATAATTATGTGGACTCTTGACTATTCAATTCTGTTACCCAACAATTATTGTACAAATAACCCCTAAATAACCCCTGAAAATATTAACATCTCTATTTTATTAAAGTGTATTAAATTTTATTAGTTAATCAAATACCTAGTAATATTTAGGAAGTGGGCCATGGCAGGAGAAGAGAAAGAAAAATTGTCAGGGCTAGAAAAAAAGCAAAATAGGAACAATAGAGTTGGTGTCACCATTCTGTTGAGATGAATGTTTTTATATGTGAAGTTAGTTTGCTCATTCCATGCTGTTGGGTCTCACAGTCCAGGAGACCATTTGCATAGTATTATCACCATCACCAAAAGAATCTGGAGCTTAATTAATATTTCACATACAAAACTAACGTACAAAGATAATGAGAGAGAAAGAGAGAAAATGATCTGCTTTTAATGCCTGGGCTTGTGGTATTTGACATGTCAACAAATAATGACACTATTTCAATGACAGCAGGTCAGAAGGAGCAATAGATAATTCTTACCTAAATATATATAAAGACTAACTCACCAGGAACCAATAATATTCAGTGTTTGGGGAGATATCTAATTGCCTTCCACAGATGTAGCTAGAGCTTTAGGACAAAAAACATTTTTAGTTCATTGTAAATTTTAATAATAATTATCACTTGGGTGATAGCATGGTGCAGGGTAGTGGGAGGGAAAAGTTGAGAAATAACTTCAAGACTAAATATTTCTTTTGAATCTGAATTCAAACCCCAGGAAGTTGGAAGTGAGTAAAAGGCTGAACTGAAGTAAATTCCTTCATTAATGGGAGGAAATTCTAAGGCTTTAGGTTTCATCTTTCCCAAATCTTTGAACTTAATAGTTTATAGCAGAAATAGTTTAGAACAGTGAATGATCATTTATTTTGCATTTGATAACTTCTTCTCTGTCCAAATAGACAAAGCAATCTTCAGCAAAAAGAACAAATCTAGGGGCATTACATTACCAGATTTCAAACTATACTATAAGGCTATGGTAACCAAAACAGCATGATTTGGTACAAAAATAAAGACATGGACAAATAGAGCAGAACAGAAAACACATATATAAAATTATCTACCTATAACCAATTGATCTGTTACAAAGCAGACAATGATATACACTGGGGAAAAGAAGCCCTATTAAATAAATGGTGTTGAAAAAATGGATAAACACAAATGTAAAAATGAAACAGGACCCCTATCTCTCACCATATACAGAAAGTAATACAAGATGGATAAAAGACTTAACTGTAAGGCATGAAAACATAAACATTCTAGAAGAAAATGTCTTGTAGATATTGGTCTAGGCAAAGAATTTATAAGTGAGACCCCAAAGGCAAATACAGCAACAACAAAAATAAATCAATGGGGCTTAATTAAATTTAAAAGCTTCTGCACAACAAGGTAAATAACCAACAGTGAACAATCTACAGAATGAGAGAAAATATTCCCGAACTATACAACTGACCAAGGACTAATGGCTAATATCCATAATTTATGAAGAACTCAAATCAGCAAGAAAAAATTTCAACCAGCATGCTGGTTGAAATCTAAGCATGAAAGTGATTAGAGGATCTCAAAGGCACCTATTCTCCCTCTTTCCACTAGTTTTCAGAAAAAAAAAAAGAGAGCAAATAAGAAGAGAAAATAGCCATTACATGACAAATTAAGCCTAAAGGAGAAATTGGGGATATTCAACTTGAAAGTTTCATGCCATGAGGAGGTTGTTACCTAATACAAATATATATGCCTAACTTTGAAGGATGAGGAGTTTGACAAAAGGAAAACTGGAGGAGGGCAACCCAGACAGAGGCCTCAGCATGAAAGAGCAGAGTGTGCATAAGGAATCCCAGACTTTTAGTATCGTTGGCCTGATAATCTCACAACAGGAAGTGTTTTTGGCTAGGGAACAGTGGTTTCTGGGTTCCTCACAAGAAGTTGAGATTTTATCTTCTGGAAAATGGATGTTCTATTATAATTTTTCTGAGCTGGTTGGTGATACAATCATACTGGCAAGATAGAATTTCATTCTTGCATTAGAGATGAGGAGAGGAACAAAATCAAAGCAAACAAAAATTCCCATTTATCACTATGTAGATCTGTATGAGCATGAAGAAACACGTAAATGTGCAAAATGTCCAAGATGAAAATGTACAAAGCTGCCTGTTTTTCTCAGAAACTTAAGTTTGAAAAGGGTCAAAGAGTCAAAGTTAACTCTTCAACAAATAACTATTGAGTTTTTCTTGCTATAAGATGTGTGATTCTATTACTTCTTACAAAGAAGCTGCAAAGAAATGAAATAAAGATTTCAGCTGCCAACATTCATATGTACTTGTGAAATTATCTAGTTACTGTACTTACTATTGTCGCTATTTTTAAAAATGCTTCTAGCCAAATAATTGTCAAAAATAATACAAACCACTCTCTGCCTAAAGAAGATTCTGAAAAATTCTTTATCCATGTGTCATATCACTTACTAGATCATTTAGGAACCTTATCTAAGATAGATAAAGCTGGAAATAAAATAATTTTCACTGGTCTTAAAAGAAAACATTTAACGCTAAGAAATAAGAGTATTAAAACATCTAATAGATACTTGGTTATAGTCTTACAAGATGAACATAAGCAAACTTTTGGAGTTAACCTGGGTAGTCCTGACTTGTGCCTTTGTCTCCAGAGTGGCTTATATTTGGTTTTTCAGTTGCCCCTTTGGACCCAACAATGCTGGGAGCTAGGTATGTGTCTCCTACACAGAAACTTGGAAAAATTTTTTATAAAAACTCTGACCAACCCAAGAGAAGAGACCTAAACAGACTGACACTGCAGATCCCATAGCAATAAAGCCTACCAGATAATTTCATGGTGACTATCAAGGTACTCAGCTGCCACCCACCTGTGCAGAGAATCAATAGCCAAGGTGACCCTAGCTTTCTAAAAGATAGAGAAACCTCTCCCAAAAAAGAAATTAGAATAATCCATAAAATGAAAAAATATATATTTTTAAAATTTGTTT